CAATGAAAAAAAGTCCCTGCTTTCTTGCTTTTATGTATGTATAATTTAAGTATTTATGTGTGTGTGTGTGTGTCTGTAGAGAGGGAGGGTGGTGGTGGCGAATGCAGACATACTTGCCAGCAATTAATAAACTTTCTATAGAAAAATAGAGATGAGTAAGGAGAATTAGAACATGGGTTGCAGGGGTCATGGTGGGAGCTATTTCAAGTGAAGAAGCCACCCTCAATAAGGTGACACATGAGCAGGACTCTGTGTAGAGGCAGCAGGCCATGGTGCATAGGGAAAATGCTCCAGAGTGCCCAGCAAGTGCCAAGACCTGAAAGGCAGCAACCAGTGTGCCAGACTGACGGACACTGGCAGAGCCATTGGACCAAGGTCCAGAAGAGTGGGAAACAAATGAGAATTTGGAGTTAGCTAAGGGCCTAACAATGAGGGTTGCTGTAGATAACTATAGGGACTCTGATTTTATTTCATGGCTTTCATTTTTTTTGAGCAAAGATACAGTCAGATTTACCTTTTAGAAACATTGCTTTGTCTACTATATAAACTAGACCGTCAGAGGGGTGGAAGGGACAGAATCTCAGCAAGCCCACAGTCAGCTGGAGGGGGAGGGCGGTGAACAGAGATGCCCAGTCTGTTCTGACTTTCTTCTGCTGAGGTCACTGCAGGCAGTGGTCACCTCTCACTGAGCTCCCATTGGTTTCAGGTGCCTTAGCATTGTTAACATGAAGGTCTGCTAAGTCACATTCTCTCTCTCTCAACCTCTTTCTTTTTCCCCACTTTCCCTGGATTTTTGTTGTTGTTGTTCCTTTGAAGGCAATCAATTTTTCTTGATTTTACATCTTCCTTAAACCTCTTTTCCTTCTGTGATGGCCATAATCTCACTGTGAACCAGTTTCTTAAAATGCACTGATCCTCTATAGGCTAAATCTCAGTTACATTTAAAAATTTCCTTTAACTCCCCTTGGAGCAAGGAAGGGAAAATGAGTGGACAAGAACATTTATTAACAATTTGCAGTGTACCTGGTACTGTCTTAGTGATAGCTTTTTATATTAGTTAATTCGTGATGAGGAAATGAATGTTATAGGGAGATCTCAGACTCCAATTCTAAAGATTGTTCTCACTTTCTATTCAGCTTTTCTATTCTCAGATTGCTCCTGTCACCTTTCTGACTTCAACCTCTGCTCCCTCAGTTTTGCCAACAGTGTGGGCCATCAGTCTATCAGCAAGTATTGACTTTGCCTCCCTTGTGCTTATGCAATTGTAGAACCATGGCGATGATATTAACTGTCACTTTCCATCTGTACAGTGTGCTGGGATAATCGGGAAAGTCGTGATGGCTCTTGGATGAGAAATGTTATTTAAACAGCTATAAACTGGTTATTATAATGCCTTCTTTAGCTTCGGTTTTGCATACGAGGATAAGAGAGTGTTCAGGCCTGGAGGTTCTCTCAAGATGACTGAGGCTGTGCTGCTTTTGGAAATAAAGCCTCCTTTTCATACCTCTCAACAGGTTACCTGTAGCACAGCACAGTGTTGGCACAAGGGTGGAGTTTAGGGGAGTTGGGAGGAGGGGTGTAAAACAAGATGTTTGTTCCTTTTCTCTGTCCCCTTCTATGATATACACCACCACACCTGGAAGGCTGTGACCATATGACTCCAGAGATTATCCTGTTCAGCCTCCAAATGCTACAGTGAGATGAAGATGTATAAACAACTCAGAAATTCCAATTCTAGTGTCCTATGCAGAACCTAGAGTTATCCAGTCTGCATTGCAATAGCTGTGATGGGCAAGTAAGTGTATGAGAGAGTGAGTGTGAGTTAGTGGGAGAATGTGTGTGTGATCTGTGCCGTGGGGGGAGGTGAGTGCAGCCCTCCCTACTAGGCAGTCTGTGCTTTTGCGGGGCAAGAAGTAAAATAAGGAGACGCGCCACGTGGACACTTCTTCCCAAGGCTTTCTCTTACTCTTAGAAAGAGCACACGTGTCCTCTCTTAGACTTTGTATTCAGAAGTTTAGTTTGAAAGTATGGTCACCATACTTCTGGGCATCCACTGATTCCAAAAATTAAGTGATTTATGGAGCGGGAGGGGAGACTAAAGATTCCAGGGGTGCTGTATGTGGTTAAGATTGTAGCAATAGTCTGAAAAAAATTTTCTCTGACTTGGATTTTCTTTAAGCTAGAAATGAATTTCCTGTGATGAGAAAGGACAGGGAATTGTTTATTGATTGCCTATCATTTTAGAGTGCGCAGAACTCTATATTTAATCTTTGTAACAACCTGTAAGGTAAAAGTATTAGTCCTGATTGCAAAAAAGTGAGCCAGACTTAGAGAGATTCAGTAAGCCCGAATCACTTCACTGGTATTGGGCAAAACTACATTGTGATAGTTAAAAAATATATTTTCTTCATAATATACAATGCACCTAGGACAGCAAGAATGTCTCCCTCTGAGAGAGGATATATGAGCCTGGTGTTCATGAGAGGGAGGGAGAAAGGTCCACTTGGAACAGTTAAAATGTGATTCCTGAGCTAAGAGGGCAGCCCGCCATTTGAGAAGAAATTGATAAAACAAAAATGAAACAAAGTCAGAACCCAAAAAGGCATCATGCAAGGTTAAAATTATGTGAATAATGATGTGCATTCATTATTTTAATGTTTTCCAAGTGCATTTCATTTTGAATGATATACTCAGATAGCACACATGGTAAGGTATAATTGAAAAAACATGTAGGCAAATGGCTGAATTCAAAGAATAAACATACAGCTGCGAGGAGGTTAGGAGTCAAAGGGGTAAGCATATGCTCCATCCCCCAGGGAGCTCGTTAGTGCATGAGTGACCATATATGTGGAGGCTAAATGAATCTCACTGTTTGCAAAGACCCGCAGCAAATGAGACAATGACGAATCAATAGTAATTAGGCTATAGGTTCGTATTGACCCAGATGTCTGAAACCAGATGCCCTGCTCTGAGATTCCTTGAGAGACAAATGAAAAGATTTATAGACATGCACTTCTTTAAAAAAAAAAAAAATCCCTTGACTCTAAGTGCAGTGATGCTATTCTGAAGTGGAAGGTTGCTAGAATCAGTGGAGGCTCTTGACTCTGGCTAGAAAAAAATGCCCTTGTGACTTTTGATGTAAATATGATGCCTGCCTGTCTAGGAGCAAAAAGAACCGGGGGATGGAAAATGAAGATGTGACCATATTCTACCCAGATAGAACATTCTGGCCCTGCCTTCCATGGAGGCCTTGTAGGATCCTTTCCTGACACTATCATACATTCATGCTAATGCAGAGTTTCCATGTGGGGCTTTGATAGGTTTCTGACCTGGGCTCCAGAATGCACATGGCCTCAGACTCACACACTGAAGAGCTTACACTTGGACTAAGTCCTATGTCTTCATGTCTTTGAACATCCCCTCTGTAAAGGACTGTTAATGGTGCTTGGCTCCCTGCACTGTGGTCAAAGGGCTGGCACACACTGGGGGAGCAGCAGTTAATGATGCTGTGTTTGGGGAGTCTTTTCCCCACAGTACGATCACCCTCCTCATATGATTTAAGCAGGAGATTTTCACAAATACGAATGAGGTGTCATAGCAAGAAGCAGAGATTACCTAGTAGGGAAGGCTGCCCTGATCTCCCCCACAGCACACACACATTCTCACACTTACTCACATTCACTCTTTCATACACTTACTTGAAGCCATTTTCCTTCTCTTTCTTTTCTATATTAAAAGTCCACATTTTTTTATTTAAGGTTAAATTTTGAAAACTACTGCTTAATTGTTGGATTGTTTCTTTAACCTTAATTTAGAAAACTTGGAATTTCATGGGGACATTCACAGTCAAAAACTAGAATTGGAAACCATTGAGCCATATACCTAAAACATTTTTAATGTAACATTTTCCAGAATATATAATAAATATCATCTTAAGTATCTTAGATTTTAATCTCCCTTGGAAATGTATTTCCTCTTTTTTAATTTTTTGCCATTATGTCATATTTTTTACCTTTCAGCTTCCCTTCAAGGACACTAGTGGATGCCACCTTCAATATATCCACTTTTTTCTATAATCACTGGCTTAGAACTTTGAGAAGGAAGCACCTTGAAAGAGGAGAAAGTAACCAACTTTAATCTTTGTGTCATACAGTGAGTCTGAACCCAGTGGGATAGGTATTGTTATACCCATTTTATGTTGGAAAGACTAAAGTTCAGAGAGGGAAAGGTACTGACCCATGCTGCCCAGCTAGGACAGGTAGAACCAAGCTCTGCCACTGCACCCCTTGACTATCAAGCCAGTTACCATCTCTGTCTCCCTCTCAGCTGAACCCTCATTCTACACATGAACAAACTGAGGCTTAAAGAGAAAGAACGAAACAGCTGTCATTTGACGAGTTTAGGTTGGAAATCAAGTTTCCTAATTCCTGATTCTAACTGCATTCGCTCCAGTCTTTTACCTACCCAAGCTCCTGTCCTGAGTTGAGGAACTGACATTGGGCTCTTCTTGTATTTTCATCATTATTATTGCAATCAAGCATAGTGATTTTTAAAAATCCTTTACATATGTACGGTATTGTACAGCTTACAAAATACAGTATCTTTACATACATGGTCTCCTTTGATCTCCACAGTAACTCTATGAGGTAAGTTGGACAGGGGTCATGAGATCTGTTTTTACAGATGCAAAGAGAGTGGTTCAGAGTTTGAATAACTTTCTCATGGTTACACACCTTCTAGGGGTAAAGCTTTCCCTGGATTTGATCTGATTCTAAACCTCTCCACTTTCCTCTAGGACCTGCCACCTATTTGTGGTGATACTGCAGCATGAGCTGAGAGTGGGAGCCATGGTTTATAGGGGCTTCGGGTCATTTCTTTGCTTTGGGGATTCTGCTTATTTTTGGAATTTGATATGAAAGTACAAATGGTTTCTTTCTACAGAACAATTTACTCCCCAGCTCTGCCCCCCTTTTAAAAAACAAAATCTACTTCTCTTCCAGATGCCAGAGTGTATATGCATATTTGAACAGTCACCTGGATCTGATTAAGAAGGCTCAGCCTGTGGGTTTCCTCACTGTTGATTTACATGTTTGGCCAGATTTCCATGGCAACCGGTCTCCCTTAGCAGATCTGACACTAAAGGGCATGGTAAGTAACAGCCAGTCCTTGCATGAAGGTGTAGGTGGGCCAGAGGTTTAGGGGAAGTTGGGGAGAAACAAAGTGCGGAGAGAGAAAAGAGGAAAAGTAAATAAAACAGGCCTGCAGTCCCTGGCTCCTTGCAGATGCATTGCCGCATGCAGGCGCTCCTCTCCCCAGTATCCTGTGCTGGAAGTTAATTGTTTCTGAGCCAGCCTCCGGAGCATTAAAAACAGTGTATCTTATATTCCGGTACTGCTTCCTCTTGGTTGCTCTGAGCGGCTACTAGTCATGAGACCCTGCCCAGGTCAGTTTTGTGTTTCCATCGGTCTATAGAGTCACATTTCCCTCTCCATCCCCAGGCCTCCTGGTAAAGAAGTACTGATCTGGTTTGTCATAACAACTCCTATGCCCAGCTCTGAAGCAGGGCAGAGTCCACGCTAGTATTAGGATTTCAGATTAAACTTCGGCAGATGTAAAATACTGTTAGTGACTTATGTTGGTGGTTAAATTCAGCTCCTAGTGACCTTTAGTGTCACTTTAAGGGCAAAGATTCTGTGGACCCTCCCGGGGCGGGGTGGAGGTGGGGGGAGGCGGGTAAAGTAAGCTTGGTAGGGGAGCTTTGTAAACCTTGTTAACCAGATAGAACATCTCATCTCGAGGGCCCAGGGAGATTGGAGGCTTAGACTGGTTGAGTCATCAAGAAGCATGTTTGAAGACAGATGAAGCATGTTAAAATTAGAGAATGAGAGATAAATTTTCAGTTCCAAGAGGCCAGAAAAGTCTGCAAGTAAGAAAATCATCACTGATGTCAGAATCCAGGAAGATGTCAAGAATTTGAGAAGCAGAGTGTGAGGTATATTAAGGCAGGGACTGAGGATGGAGGGTGTGAGCGGGTAAGGTTTGTGCACTGCAGGGCAGCGGGACTGCTCTGCTGACTTGAAGAGCTTCAGGACTCAGAATGCTGTGGTTTAGTGATTAATTTTCTTGAGTGTTTTCAGTATTTTTATGACGCCAACAGGAAGACTTGATCTTTGTTTTCATTACCTACTTGACATAATCAACTTCTGCTAATAAATGGGAGTCTTGGTGAAAAAATAAGATAAAATCATAGTAAAGGTTACATCTGGCTGGTGTCCTCGAAGCATGACCACATGACAAATAATGAGCTTGGACTCCTTATATGGGAAGCAGAAGAGAAGTATCCAGAGAGAGCCATGTAGCCACAAACTGCAGCTCAGGAACTGTACTTTCAGAAAACCAACTCTAGGTGCAAACAGAGCTTGGAGGGAAGCACATTTTGTATAGGTACAAAAATGAGTGTCTTTGTTAGAGATAAACATATAAAAACAAATGCAGTAGCCACTTACTAGGTGAAGACATTAAGAAGCATGACTAGTTTATAAAATGATCCCAAAGCAAAGCAGGCATGTGGAGTAAAATGACAGTGGCCCCAGAGTGTGTGCACTTGCATTTACCTCCCTTGGGGTTCCTCCCTTACCCAACAGCTGTGTACCCAGTCTGACTGGGGCCATGGCTCCCAATGGACTTTTGCTATTTCTTAAAACCAAGCCTCACATCCAAAGTCATAAACATTACCATGATTGAAGAATTCACAAGAGTTAAGGATGTTCTAATAAAAGTGAACAGACAGAGAATATAATTCCAAAGGCATCACTGGAGTGTTTTGATGATCATTTGAATAAGACTCATTATGTCAAAGACACACTCACCAAAGGAGTCTTCTTGCATGGGGGCCAATAGCCAATTGTAGCTGAAAACATGTTTGTTATTGTTTTACAAACAGACCTCATCTGTCATGTGATATTTTAGCAATGCTTTCCCTTCTCAACTGTCCTTTGCAGTGATTTACTTTGAGATGGCTGTCACCCCTTGGAAGAGAAGGTATCCTAGATGAAATTGAAGGAAAGAAATTTTGGGCTAAAAATGTCCCCCAGAATCTCTTTCCATCAATCCAATTTTGGGTAACATCAAAATAATCACCTTGAAATCTGTTACCACGTTATCCTTTTGTCAGAACCTTCGATGACTTCTATCTCCAGCTCTCATGCAGGAAATATTTTACATTGATTCCGTGACCAGCACTGCTAAAGATGGAGTAGCTTTGGCAGTTCCTACCTTTCTGGAGCATGTTTGGAGAGAGGGGAGGGAAGTTCTTTATAAAATGTTAGGTTAAAAAAACATATACTAGCTAGAATTATCAGAATTACCCAGTAGGGCAAGAAACTTGTGATTTCTGTTTTTGGCTCCTAAAACATTTCTCTTGGCACATACTAATTGCATAATATATTCTTATTGATAATTGATAGTCAACATGAAGATAATTAAAAATTCATCTATTGCTTCAGAAAAAAGTATATGTGACCAATTTATTCATACTCATGTATCTGTGGCTACTGATTCTTAATATCCATATGATAAATATTTAATTGTAATGCTAAAGTCCAGGAAAATTAAGAAGTTTCTGTTTTATCACAATTATGAGTACATTTGTTCATCAATCAGTGACTATTTTAATAGCTTGGTGAGGGGAGAGATCTAAGAGTAACCAGTCATAATTCTAACCCTCAGGAATTGACTGTCTTTTGGGGGGAAACACAAAACAAACAGAGGGAATATGGGGTCAGGCTCTAGGCGATGCTCTGCTTAGGGCACCCTCGATGTGTGGGAGATGATTGTCCAGCCTGATCTTACAGTCAGAAAGGCTTCAGATCAGAGGTGACATTGACACTGATGTAAGTGGAAAAGAAGCTCCAAGACCAGGGGAGTCATAAGACATGCAGTCTTCCAGAGGGGAAGGACAAGGCATGTCTGTGATTCTGATTCCTTGCACCATTGGCTAACCAATGGCAGATTGTGTTTGGCATTGAATCTTTGTAATATGTTTTCTGAGCATTCTCAGGCCATTCTCTCTGCTCCTCTGCCTTAACAGCCTGACACTCTCCCCAGTCTTTATTTTCATGTGGTTCACAGAAAATCTCATAACATTTGTTAAGCATTCATTCATCCAACAAAGGACCCCCTAGTATGTGCAGGCCTATAAACCCAGTTTACCCAAAGAAGAAAGGAAACTATTCCTGTCCTGAGTTCACATAAAAGCATAAATGTGGGAGAGATAATTATTGTATGAGGGAGGGAGGGCGGGAGATGTTATTATGCATTCTATGTGTAGTGATCCTGGCTTATGTCTATACAAGCCAAAGCAGTGCTCAGTAAATGTCTGACTGAATTCTGTGTACAGTGTCTTCTGGCTCCTAAGCCCTGTTATCACCTTTCTCTGTTTCACTTGAAAAATACCTGTGGAGATGCAAAACAAAGCACATGCTCCTGCTGACTTTGAAAACTAGGGTGACGCTCAACTAGAACTTGGATTTACATTCTCAGAGAGAATCTGGGAAGATTTTCCGGAATCTAAAAGTCTTATTGTGACTTGTTTGATAAACAAAATGTGTGATTTCTGAACATAGTAAAACTTGAGCCTTACTAGAGTTTGGACCACTCCACCTTCTGCTCCAGAGTTGAGAAATGCAGGATCCCTTTCAGCCTACACACAGGGCTGTCATCTCTCTATTCTGCTGCTGGCAGTTAAGGATTGTTGTTGTTGTTGTGTTTTTGTATTTTTGGAAGCAGCCAGTGAATTCAATTTCCCAGAACTCCTCCACAACTGACACCTTATCTTCCCTTTCAATACAGTCCATTAGAAAACTGCCAACCCAGGAAGACAACTGGGCAGAAATCTGCCCGCGGATGAACTGTGAGGCCCTGTGAGTGGGGCAGAGATGGGGAGACCCTAGAGGCTGCACATATGGAGGAGGCCTGAGAGTCAGCATGTGTACCCATCTGTTCAAGGGTTAGAAAGTCTATCTCAGGCCAACAAATCTACACAAAATAAAAACTGTTGACCCTGGGAATTGGCAACTAGTTGTAGATCTGAAGTGGCAGAGCCAAGTGATAAGAGTAAATCACATGTACTGTATGCTGGGAAACGCTGAATATGTAGATTAGTAGTTAGAATGAGCAAGAAAATAATAAAGTGCGCCCACAGGAAGAAGATTTTGTATCCACAGAAAAAGAAAAAACATTTTGAACACAGGGAAAGACCTCTTCCAAAATTATTTACTACTGAAACCAAAGTGAAAGATTAAAACTCCTTGGCATATTCAGTAGAATTTTTTTAAAGGAACATCTCTATAAAATAGTGTAGAAACTTATTGGGGCAAAAAAATGAGCTCAGATGGAAATGCAGTGGAGTGAGAAGAAAAAAGAAATGATAAAGGCAACCAAAAATACAACAGAAGAATCAAAACCTGCATTGAAGGCAGTAGAAAACAATTGTTAGTGAAGAAAATAAGATCACAACTGTCATAAGATGTAGCATATAGTTTAAATTTATCAGAAAAAGCATGAGGATAGGAGACTTTTTTTTTTTTTAATTTCAGCAGTGCTTAGGTTGAGACAGGCACCAAACAATTGTTCTATGGTTACGCAGTTATTTCAGTCTTCTTCATCTGGCAAGTGAAGAATGAACAGTGGCCTGTCCAAAGTCACAATACTGAGGACTGCAGAGCTTACATGAAAACGGCAATCCTGGCTTTTCAGAGGTATACTGCCATGAACCTGCCCTAACTTTTAAATCTAGACTTAAAAAAAAATACACTGAGAACTAGAAAAAGGAGTCCCAACAGCTGCATCTTGCACACCTTACTACTGAGCGACACCAGCCTTGTGCTTCCCTACCCTACCCTCCAATTCTGACCCCCGGCCTTCTTGCTCTCCCTCCATCTTTCTCTTTACTCCCATCCTTGGACTTCAGCACTGACCCTGTCTCTTCTCAGTAACAGCTCTCGTTTCCTCCTCACACTCACTGACTCAGATTTCAAAAGTAATTGTCCCTGCTGATTTGACCTGATTCTAAACCCTTTCACTTGAGGCACCTACCCTCCTAAGTCGGAACAGGACATAACCCAGAAATCTTTCCATTCTGCTTGATA